CCCCAAAACCCCAAAACCCCAAAACCCCAAAACCCCAAAACCCCTTGGAGTATCATATTGGTTGATCGAGTGTTATTCAGTAAGTTCGCCTTCTTCGTACTTGGCTCTTTTGTGGGATTTCTTGGGAATTTTGAATATGAAGTGAGGAGTCAGCACGTTCAGTTGTTGCACTTGGTCCAAAGCTTTAAACATATGGTGTAAATCTGATTTTGTGTATGCCATGTACAGGCTGAGTGTAATATTCAGAACTGGTAATAGTCTCTTTTAGAGTATTGTAATGATTCAAGATCTCATTCCGAAGCTTTATCAAATTTTGTGCACTATAATTAAGAGGAGATGTACCATTTTGAAATCTTATTTATATGTCTTCATCATTTGAACCCCTCCACTTTCTGCAAACTTAATAAAGCCAGGACTATAAGTGTATTGAAAGTAAATTGTGCCGATATCAATCTCTGAGGGATTTGTCAGAATATTAGATGGTTGATATTTGAGTTTATTTTTATGAGTCTTTATTCTCCTTACCATTTCAGAAGGTTTTGTTTTTTGAAGACAGGCTATAATTCACTTTCCCTCAATATTCACGATATTTTCCAAAATTTCTACAATATCAAACAAAAATTGTACTATTAAATCATTGCTTGATATAATCAACTCTTTCATCTCTATATTCATAAACCACATTCTCCTACCATCAATCTGAGGAATGTTCAACAGCTTGCTCAATAGTAGAGAACCTAGCCTCAGAAGGGTTCTCTAAAACAATCTTGCTCATCTTAGTTATATAAAAAGTCTTCGTATTCAAACAAGGGGTGCTCAAATCCTCTCTCACTCTGCTTCTACAAGGATCAGTAATCCCTTACTTTGACTTTGTCTTTTCCTTGGAACATCTCAACTTGTTTCTTGAGTTCATAATTTTCTGCTTGAAGAGCCCTGACTCGTTGTTCTAGTTCGTGGATATACTCTTTCTTCCGAGCCCTATGTTCTTTACTTCGGAGGCTAGCTGGCTTCGGGGTTTTTGAAGAGGGAAGCTGGTTTTGAGAACGAGTGAAGGAGGTTGTCATTTTTATAATGAATTTTTATTAAGATATTAGGGAGGTGAGGGGTTTTGGGGTTTTGGGGTTTTGGGG